AGAATGATCAAACAAAGGGATGAACAAAGGAAAAAATGAACACAAAACATTACACAGACGCGTGTTATGGCAAATTGAACTACGAGCGTACTATTTCAGTGATGTATGAACCCTAGATTTGTTAATTATCAAAAAATTGACAAAAAAGAATTAAACATGATATTAGTTATGAATAATTATTTCATTGACAAATCAATTGGAATAACTACCACTTCGTCATGAAACAGCATGTGAAAAGCGTTTGGATGCTCCAAATCATCATGAGTTTCCATCAGTAGGACTACTCTCAACTTCAAAAAAGGTTTATTGGATCTGTTGATGGCGTCGATTGTATTAAAGAATGGTGCAAATAATATTTTTTGTGTTCTTTGTATTTTGAAGTCGTCCGTGTTTTGATGAGTCGAACGAAAAAGGGTATCAATGAATACCCTTTTATACACGATGTATATGTATAGATGTTTATCTCATCCGATTTTTTTGAATGAATTTGTTAGGATAATTACTAAACACGATATTTAAAGGACATTCCGTCCAATCTGTAACAAACTAAATGCCTTGAAAAGTGGAAATAAGTTAGGTATGATTAAAAACAAAAAGAAAATCAAGAGAATTGTTAGGATAATTACTAAACACGTGATATTTAAGTGACTTCACACCAAACTAAATGCCGTGATATTAGGTATGATTTAAATGACTTTACACCAAACACGTGATATTTCGTACGATTTAAAACAAAAAGAAATTCAAGATAAAGTTTATTAACTTTTGGATTTTTAAAAGACTTTCCACAAATGGGAAGTCAAAGCTTTTTTTACCAATTTTCTTAAACTTTTCCTAAATGATTTTTCTACCTCTCTTTTTCAATATATATAGATATTAATTACCACGGGACTAAAAAACTCACACATATCTCTACAAATATACTACAAATATATATTTTAATTATTTTCTAGTCACACCGTACTAGCCGTCTTCACTAACGACTACAAATATTACTTTTTAGCCGCGCAGTATTAGCAGTCTTCACTACCGACTATCAATTTAATTTTAATTTTACGATTGAATTAAAAATCAAAGTTATGAATACTCTTCCTCACATATGTATCTACTACCACTATTAAGTACTTTCTAGTGACACACAGTACTTACTACTTAGATCAACTCCAATAATTGCTCAGGGACAACTCTTTTTTTATCAACACTTTTGGCCGGTGATTAAAGATGATATGTGTAAGGCAGTGATCAGTTTTTTCGACAATGGACAACTCTTGCATTACTGGAATCATACATTAGTGGCTTTGATCCCCAAATGTTTGAATCCAACGTCAATTAGCCATTTCAGGCCGATAAGTCTTTGCGGAATTGTATATAAGGCGATTGCGAAAATCCTGGCGGGTCGATTAAAACTGTGCCTGGATGTTTGTATTAGCCCGACTCAGGGAGCATTTATTCCAGGAAGACAGCTCTTGGACAACGTTATCATTGCTCAGGAAAGCTTTCATTTTTTGAACAGACACAGGTCAGGGCCAAATTGTCATATGGCTCTTAAGCTCGATATACTTAAGGCATACGACAGAGTGGAATGGGGGAGCATTTGTAAAACTATGTTGAGAATGGGTTTTGAGAGGGTGTTTGTGAAATGGATTTTTGTTTGCATATCATCTACCACCCTCTCTTTTCTGGTGAATGGAAAAGTCGTGGGATTTCTAAACCCGACGAGAGGAATACGACAAGGAGATCCCATATCTCCATATCTGTTTCTTATCGTTTCCGAGGTCTTTTCTTCTTTGTTAAAGCGGGCTGGAGACAGTGGAGATTTTAAAGGCTTAAGACTAGTACGGGGAGGCCCAACATTAACGCACTTATTGTTTGCGGACGACTCCATAGTCTTTTGTAAAGCGGAGGTGGGGCAGGTTCATGTTCTGAAAAGAATATTACGGATTTACCAAAGTTTCTCTGGACAACGGGTCAATCTAATGAAGTCATCGGTATTTTTTAGCAAAAATTCAAATCAGGTACTTAAAAATGGAATCAGCCAGTTGCTGCAAGGTGTTCAAATTCATACGTCCACCAAATACCTCGGGTTGCCGCTTGGAATTGGCCAGTCGAAAAAAGAGACTTTTGCATATGTGCTACAAACAGTCAAAAATCAACTGGCTAACTGGAAGAATAGGTATCTATCGACGGCAGGGAAGGAGGTTCTAATAAGAGCAGTGATTAATGCTCTTCCAGTTTTTGTTATGTCATGTTTTAAACTACTGAGGGATATTTGCAATGAGCTCAACCGTTTAATGTCCGCTTTTTGGTGGAGTAGAGGGGATCAACAAGCTAAAGGAATCCATTGGAAAAATTGGGGTAAGTTAACCCTCCCCAAAGATCATGGTGGGCTTGGTTTTCAAGATTATCAAATGTTCAATGAAGCCTTGATACTTAAGCAACTGTGGCGTATTACCACCAGACCCGAGCTTTTGGTGAGCCAGGTTTTAAAATCCAAGTACTATCCAACGTCCTCCATTTTCGAAGCGAAGAAGAGCCAAACAGCGTCCTGGCTTTGGAATACTTGGGTCGAGTTAATCCCGCTCTTTGCTAAGGGAATTTCCAAAGAAATTAGAGACGGGACGAACACTAAAATCGCTGATAGTAGTTGGGTGCCCCTGTTAGACCAAAGCCATCCCCAGATTCTGACCAGCTGCAACCGGGAATTAATATGGGTATCCGAGCTTATCAATGAAGATGGCCGAAGTTGGAAGGAAAGAATACTGAACGAGATGTTTAATGGAAGGCTATCCTAGTCATCAACACTCTTGATCCAACTAAAAGGGACAGATGGAAATGGACGTTGACGCAACAGGGACATTTCTCAGTGGCGAGCTCATATGCATATTTAATGGCTAGAAAAATTCTAAAAATGGACGAGGCTGAGGGCAGCAACTCGGCGACACTGGACAAGGCTGTGCAAAATCGTACATGGAAGATGCGTATAAAAGGAAAATTAAAACATTTTTTATGGAAGTGTTTTATAGGAGTATTGCCGGTTAGCACCAACGTGGCCCAGAGAGGTATGCAAGTCGATATTATTTGTCGAATGTGCGGTGAACAGGAAGAGACACCCGAACACCTGCTCTTAAGCTGCAGGAGGGCCACTCTTGTCTGGAAATTAGCCCACATTGAATGGAACTTAGACTCAAGTGCGCACATCTCATTTAAAAACTGGCGGTGGCAGGTGTGCTCGATTGAGAAGTCGGAGGTGGCAGAAGATCGTATACAGCTGTCTACGTACATACTTTGGTTGTTGTGGCGGTCCTGGAACTTATGGTTGTTTGAGAAAGTTTGGATGCCGGAGGACGTTGTGGTGCGATTGGCGTGGCGAGATTGGCAGGAATTTGCATCATTGAAGGAGTAGTCTGAGCTGTTTTATTTTTCTTTTGCTTGGTGTATTTTGTGGTTAGTAGGTGCGTGATTTTCTTTTGGGTTTTGTGTACAGGTAGGATGGTGTTACGGAGAAAGGTTCCGGTGGTTGCATCCCCGCCTTTAGCCGTGTTTTAGTGATTTTGGTTGGTCTCTAGACCACTCTTTGAGTGGCTCTCCCACGGTGTGTCGTCTTGATTGTAAATATGATCGAATATTGTTCGGTTAGTTTGTTAATATTAATCTTCTATCGTTC